ATCTTGAACAGTTGATAAATGGAAATGAGATCAAACAAGATGTCTGCATTAATTCTGAGCTGGTTAAGAAAAAATTGGGAAGTTTATAAAGCAATAAGGCTCCTGGGCCAGGTAATATTTCCCCAAAGGTTTTGAAGGAGGTTAAAGATTGATATGTGAGCCACTTACTACTATATTTTGTCAGTCCTTGAATAGTGGGCAGGTACCAGAGGATTGGAAGTTAACTAATGTAACTCCTCTTTTCAAGGGAGGGGATAAAAATTGTTCCAATAATTATAGACCCATTAGTCTTGCATCAGTTGTGGGAAAAGATTTGGAAAGTCTGTTAAAAGATGCTTTGCAAAGCCATTTAACAAAGTTTAGAAATTTATTGGATAGTCAATATGATTTCACTAAGGGAAAATCTTGCCTTACAAATCTTTTGACATTCTTTGAAATAATTACTGCTTATGTAGATGAGGGTATGGGTGTAGATTTGGTGTATCTGGAATTTTAGAAAGCATTTGACAAGGTGCCACATAAAAGGCTTGAAAAAATATTATCTCTATAGGTGTGGGGGATAAGTTAGCAAATTGGATGAAAGAAAATAGAGGGCTGTTACAAACAGAGTTCAGTTAAACTGGATTAATGTCACAAGTGGGGTACCTCAGGGCTCAGTCTTAGGACCTTTGCTCTTTTTGATTTACGTTACTTAAATCTGCAGATGATATTAACGTCTAGCTAGCTGTGAAGAGTATGCTGTTAATTTACAAAAGGATTTAGACCATTTAGTAAGTTGGGCAAATAAGTGTGTTTTAATTATAATAAATGCAAGATAATACATGTGGGTTACCATGATTTGAATTATAAGTATAATTTGGATGAGAATACCCTTAATAGTGTTATGAAGGAAAGGGATCTTGGTGTAATAGTCGATCAGTCTCTAAAGCCATCCAAGCAGTGTGCTGTTGCTAGTGGTAGGGCGAATAAGATTTTAGGTTGTATCTACAGAATTATTGAATACAAGTCTAAAGAGGTTATAATTTCATTGTACAGGTCACTGGTTAGGCCACATTTGAAATATTGTGTTCAGTTGTGTTGGAAAGGGTTTCTAGTATGGTGCTTGGGATGGAGGGGTTGTCATACATTCCACACCATTCAGCTCTGGTAGTAGATACATTCAGTCGGGATTGGAAAGGACTTCATCTATATGCCTACCGTCTGATCAGATTCCTCTCCAGAGTCTTTTTTTCTCTTAGCCACATGACTCCTTATTGTGTCCAGATTGTTGCTCTGTATTGGTTTGCTTATATATGGTTCCCTCTGCTCTGGCCCTTACTGGAGCGACATTCCCTGCCCTTACCTATGTCCCAGTCTCTCCTCTGACAACCATGATTGTACATAGTTCATTCTGACTTCACCAAACTCCATCTTCACGAGTGACTTTTGTCCAGTCCCTTGCCTCAGCTCAGGGACTCACCCCTCATGTAGCATCTTTCCTTTCCCATTCTATTCAACCTTCCTCCCTGTATGTGTACAAGAGAGATGGTAGTCTACATTCAGACCTTGGTCTGTTTGCTGTGGCTTCCGCCCCTCCCATCCTTTCTTACCTTATCTTTCCCAGTTCTTCGCCTGGTTGTTTTATCAGGATTAGTCCATGTCAACAGTTTCTAATTGTAGGGCTGCCCTGTCAAACACCTTCCAATTCTCTTGTTTCTGGAAAGCTTTCACTTCCCCTGTATTTTCCTCCTTTTCTGTTCCTTTCATCTTATCCATCCTCCATGTTCCTTTATTTTGCCATATTGGATCTCAATTTTGTCCTTCATGCCCTGTCCAGTTCTCCTTTTGAACCCATTCTTATGTGTTCCTTGTACCATCTTTCCCTTAAGTCCTTTTCTTCCTCCTTGATTGCAGTCATCATCATCATTCAAGAATTTATGCCATTGATGTTTACTGCACCTTTTACCATTCCTCTTATGTTATCCTGATTGGGCCTTCCTTCCCTAGACATCTGCTGCCTGGGCAGAGGGTTTGGCATTCTCTCCTATTTCCTTGCCTTTCATTTCCTACCTGTACTCCCATTTGATTCCAGATAGACTACTTTGTCCATTTCATTCCCTGAGATGTTATGTGTCTTGTACTTCCTCCTTTCATGTTATTGTTTCCATCCATCTGTTCCAAGGATTCCCTCTGTGTCCCATGATATGCCTTCTGTTGCACTCACTGGTTGGGTTCATCAACTAATATGACTGAGATGTTATGTGTCTTGTACTTCCTCCTTTCATGTTATTGTTTCCATCCATCTGTTCCAAGGATTCCCTCTGTGTCCCATGATATGCCTTCTGTTGCACTCACTGGTTGGGTTCATCAACTAATATGATGTGTCCATGGAAGGTTGCCATCTGCAGAATGTTTCTTTGCACCCAGTTTGGAATATAACTATGTTTTTAGTGGCTTGCCTTCACTGGACTTTGGAGGAGATCATTCAGACTGGGATGTGGACAACTCCCAATACATTTGTCACACGTTATCTGCACGACCTAGCTGTGTCTTCCTTGGGCAGGCATCGTCTTTCTCCTGTGGTGATTCTACACTTGTCTGTTCACCTTTGACTGGGGAAAGTTGACATATTACTTTTTCTATACATTTTTATTTGATACATATCGCATTTCAGGATCCCACCTGGTGACGGGTGTTGCCTGGTCAGGTGTGCTTTATATTATATTTGCACTAGATATGAATAATTCTATAACACTCATTGTTGAGATTGGGTGTTTCTGTAAAAACCACTGGCAGCTTGTCATGTATGTATATTTATTGTCTTTACTAAAAGTTACTAGTTTCATTTATAAAGGACCATCACTCATGGACCTCCTGAGCAAAGCAGGTGGGTATTTCTGCCCATCACTACTGACCTGTGATTCCTACAATCGGAGTCGATCTGCTTTTCAAAATAGGGAATCACAGATACCAATTGCACCTTCTCTTGTGTGTCGTTCCTTGGACTCCACAACAAGCATCCTCTTCCCCTTCTCTTCTAATAAAACATGAGAGTCTTTACCACTTCCAAGGTTTCCTCCTGAGTGGGTTTTGAAAAACAAAATAAAACTTTCCTAGTCCATGTGTACCCACTCAGGGTGAAGAGAGCTATAAGTTGTTACAATCATTACAGTACCGAATAATGAATTATTACCCAGGCAAACCACACTTGTAGATCATATATTTCTCATGCAAGGTGCTTCCACTGGATGTTTTTTCTCAGGTGGGGTACACTTGGCCTTTTCAAATACATTTCACGGTCCTTAAGTCCTAGCCACATATTGTTATTCTCTACAGCTCATTTACTGCCACCATACTATGACTCACTATCACTCTGTTTGGTACAACACAGGGATGTGGACAGAGAGCTAGTTGTGATGACCCTTACAATCGCACTCATAACAGTAATTTATGTCTTTCATAATCCTCCGTATCCAAAGCACTTCCCTTGGCACATACGTATAAGGAAAAGTGGTTGCATACATACAAGCCTTTCCATGTTTGTCAACACCATACTGATTAATGTCTTAGTTATCCAGCATTTCCTGCACTGATACTATTTTGCAGTATCTGTCAATGTACACTAACCTTTTGCTACATCACAGCAATATAGCTTTGCATAATAACGATCTTATCTTCATATACAAGCGAAATGTTTACAAATTTTCAGCATTCCATTTGTAAAGATGACTACCTTCTTCACATTACTATGAACTGACTTATAATGGATTCGATTAAATGGATACAACTAATTAAGATAATGGGTATTCATTTCTGATTGTATCTATGTAAAATTTGAGAAGAGGTTTTTAATTTGAAAAAATTAGTTTTATATTTAATGATTTTTGTTTATAGAAACAATGAAAAAGCAAAATTTTTTAAATGTTTAGTTGTAGATAGTTATGTATGTGCAACCAGGTAACTTGTAAAATTGGAACTTAGACTTTTCATGTAAATTCAATTGTTGCATTCAAATTTGATAATGAGGAACCCCCACTTTTTTTATAAAATAAAATAAAATCTAGAGATAGGTAGTGAAAGAAACTATTACAAATGTACAATGTTTCTTTCACTAACCATTCAAGCCATCTCCAATCTTTATCAACTGTTGCATGTCATGTAACATTTTAAGACTGTAGTTGTGTTCTCAGTCCACACAGAAAATTGACAGTGTGTTTGGCAGTCATACTTTTGTTTGGTGTATTTTCTATGTACAAGTCAGTAACTTGGTTTGTTTGTTTTTTTGTAGTTCCTTCCATAACTTATGTATATAACAAGTTCATCTACTTTTTTATGTAGGATTCCCATTACCACAAATCAATAAGTAAAAACAAGTTTGTTATTACAATGATCTGTTTCCCCCTGGTGGTGGCTTTGTTACTTTTGTCTTGTTTTTCTGACACTAGACCAAGTTCTACCAGACCAGAAAAGCAAATTGAAGTAAGTTAAGGTTATATTTTGCTTGCATTGAATATTATAATTATTATAATAATTTTTTTGGTTCATATTTTATAGACTTTTTAATCTTAAGTAGATGTAGTTTTAACAAATTAAAAGATTTATGTATGAATTGTTTATGTTGGTGAATACTGTTCTAATAAATATATTTCAGCTACTAGATTACACTATCAACCTGTTAACTCTTGAACTTAAAAGATAAATGTTAAAGAAATTTTACAATCTAAGAGTGTGTTTATGAATATATAACAAAAGTGAATATGGGCATGTAGATATTAACATTATTTAACATTTTGCCAACTTCTAAGTATATCCATATTTTACTGTTTTGCTTCTCATGAATAGTTTTAGGTTACTTTGTTTGTAGAACGAAATAGAAGGTTTGACTTGGCAAATATAATATTAGTTGTCTGAGTGTGTATTTATGCATGTATGTTTATAAATGATGTATTCTTTGTACTTGAGTGTTTCATCACCATTTGTTATTTATACAACACACAGTAATGTAAACTCCTATGATAGATGTAGATAAAATTTGAGAGTTCTGTGATTTATGTGAATATCTTTTTTCCTTAATTTTCTAGAAATTTCAATTTTTTTTCAATAAATCATATTGAGAACTAGGATGCATGTTAATCTTCAAAATAACAAGTGTTAGCATAGTAGTACAGTGCACATACATTTTCTGATTAGGCTTTCATACTTTTCAACTGGAACATTTTGTTAATAATAGCAGAAAATAAAGTTAAAGTTCTCTGTAGTAATGCGTAAACTTTTGCATACTCTTTAAATCTGTGACAGGTAGCAAAGTAATCATTACACCATTGTACAATTTTATTCCTTATTTGATTATAAAAAAAAGAAAACAGAAATATTTTCTCTCTCTCTCTAACTAATACATCCACACTCCCAGAGTAAAGCTAAACAAGAAAGTATGTGTACACTTAAATTGGGGGTAAATTGGGTATATTCGATATCAGTATATTCAGCTTATACCATTTCTTGACTAGTGTCCTGAAGAAAAAGCATCGTTTCTATCAAAGATTACATTCTGGTGGTTCACTGGGTAAGTTTAACTAAACAGTTCTATGTAGTTAGATTAGAAAGAATGTTAAAAGTATTCATTACCAGTTAATCAAAGAAGATTTCAGACATTACTACTCACCCCTCAGTAGAACAAATAGCTAATGCCAAAGGTTTTCATGCATGTGCCAAGTCTTAGATCAAGCCATCATTCCTGTATGTAATAACATGAACTGTAATATTCTTTGTTGAAATCAGCATTAGACTATACCTCTCCATCAGTAGGAGGATGACACGTCCACCTTGTCCAGTATATTCCTTGAGAACTTTTTATAAACCAATAGCTCATTCTTTTCCTCAACACTGTTTAGATGTGTTGTTTTCTAATGAATTGCTAAACAAAGGATCTTTTGTGCTGCTCCAACATTTCAAGTTGAATTTAATTTCAGTTATATCTTCTAACATGAATTATTATATTTTCTTATATCAATTTGATTTCTTTTCTTAATCAAGCCATGAAATTTTGTATATCCATTCCAGAGACTAATATGGTTTCCTTCAAAGGAATATTTCCTGTTGTCATTAACTCTGCATTAGGGTTTCAGCTGAAGCCAATAATTATTCTTGGTTTTGTCAATACAACAGTGACTAACTGTAACACAAATGAAAAGGAAATGATGTAAAGAATAATAATAATAATTGAAATCACATTTGTTTCAGGAATCTTATTGAATAAGAATTCTTGTATCCACATTTCTGAAACTTTATGAATTCTAGTCAGTCCACAGTAGTTATCAATGCTACTTGAAAGGTGATTGCAAGTGCTCTTGATGGTGAGCATCAAATGGTTGGTTCTATCTTACATTCTTCATCTTTTCCCACAGCCTGTCTTTGCTTCTGGTTCTTCTATCCCTGACTAGGATGAAATAACCCACCTATGTGAACCCCTGCACTGATCACTTAGGTTTGTGATTTTGTTTCTACTGGCCCTGTATTAAAATTGGATTCAGAGCTGATGAGGCAGGTTCACCAGTTTCAGAATATTTCTTATACTTTCTGATAGTCATTCTCTTAACATGGATGGTAGGTGATTGTTTGCTGCTGCCTTCCCTCTAGTCAGTAGTTCAAAATTAGGGATTGCAGCAGATAGCTTTAATAGCTTTTCCATAAATACAGATACCAATCTTCACTTGGAATTATATGCCATAAAAAGACTGGTTTACTTGTATATTCTCCTTTTTTTTCTCAATTTCTTCTTCATCAGTTGTCCAATTAACTTGATTTCTTTGTTTCTGGGATTTGCTTGGTCAGGATGCCATAATTTTTGGAGTATGACTCTAAGGAACTCAATTTGGTGCACTTCCTTTGGGACAAAGTGTTATTGAAAATTATTTATCTGCTTCTCATCGTATGATCCTTTCCCAGTGTCTCTTATTCTGACTGGCCAGATGCCATGAGTTTCGGAGATGCCTTGTTTCTGGAACCATCCCTTGAATCTGATCCTGTAGGAACTGAGCTCTTACAATATGGGCACCTGTTTACCCACTTAGCAAAGAACTCTTGATCACACAGGAGCTTTCTCTGTCTTTCAGAACTAATGACCCATCTATTTTCATTCTGGTCCTGAGGGATTTTGTATGGATGAATGCACTTAATGGGTCTGCCTGTCCACAACTATTTAGATGTTTGGCTCTTCCTAGCTGTGCCCTAGGATGAATGTTCTGTTGTGATGTCCATTTTTCTTCAGGAGTTGGTTCATTTGGTTTGACTGGTCAGGCTCTCTTAAGTTGATGTTGATTCCCACTCCATATCTGATTCATTTGCAAGTCTTTTTCATCTCCTTTGGTTAGCCTCTACTTTACATCTTTGAGATACAGAGCTTTTTGTTCCAGGCTTTTGTGTATTATTTTCTTTCTGTGTCAGAGGTCCTGTCTCATTTAGGAATGTTTGTCTTTCTAGAAACTTTTTTTACCACTGGATGTGCCCATTTGCATCCCTTTCAATAGACTGTCAGATCAGAATAATATATCCAGTGACCCACTGACTTCTCTATATTCTTTCCCTCTATCTCTTCAATTGTTGTTATCATGTTGACTCAGTCTTTCCAACACAACCCTGGGCATCCCTTTTCCTCCACCTCTTCATGAATTACTCTAGTAAAGTTCTGGTGTTGAGTGTCCATAATAGCAGTCTCTCCAAACCACCATCCTCAAAATGTTGGTTTTCCAATAGGTTTGCCACGATCTTCTATCCCATCTGTCTGGACATCTTGTTATGATCCATATGTACAACGTCCCTGTTTCTTATTCAATGACGAGGAACCCACTTTGAGACTAATAATGGTTGGAGACAGCTTGAATGGGTAACCTTGTAATCAACAGATTTGACCGGACATTCAATGACACAGAACTTCAACATCTAGACAAAGGCCTCAACTTTGCCGTCAGCCACAAAATAACTCCATGCCTAGAGTTCAAGGCGTGTCTAGAAGATCTAGCCAGAAGACTAGTGACCCACTACATAAAAGAACAAAAGACCACCTCTACCTGAAACATCCTCCAACTACAGAAAGAAGAAATCCATGACATCAACCAACAGACTTTTATTACAGGTAACTATAACAAAATGTGGTTTCCTAAGGTTCCCAAAAACTATATTTTAAACAACTTTTTCAAAGAATTCTCAAAAAGACTATTAATGTAGTCAACCAATCCCATAAACTGAAAAGTAACCTCACAAGTAATGAGATCAAATCCATTTATAATCTTAAAAAGGACACTAACATTAAAATTCTAAAAGCTCATAAAGGCAACACCACTGTCATTATGAACAATTCATAATACATCGACAAAATGAACGACATCCTTTCCGATAAAAAGAAATTCAAAGCCATCCCAAACAACCCAACAAACACACACGAAAAACAATTAAACATAACTTTATTACAAATGAAAAAAGATAATTTAATTACTGACGATCTTCATTTTTATCTATGTAAAGCAGATTCACGCACACCACAAATCCATGGCATTCCTAAACCACACAAACAGGACTGACCCCTACGACCTATACTGTCCACTTATGATTCATTCAACTACAATCTTGGCAAATACATAGCCTGGGCTCTCACACCATATGTTACATCTGCAGGTTCATGTTTTAAAGATGCCTTCAATTTCGAATATACACTAGAACAATTAAATTCGAAAGACTTAATGGCTAGTTTTGATGTCAT